TTTGCACAGGGGGGTAATCGAGCATGCTGATCACCCCCGTGGGGGTGATCAGCATGTTCAAATCAGTGTGGGTGATCAGCATGTTCAAATCATTTTGCACAGGGGGGTAATCGAGCATGCTGATCACCCCCCACGGGGGTGATCAGCATGCTCGATTACCCCCCTGTGCAAAATCCCAGCCCCGTAGCTCACATTTTGCAAAAAATCGATAAAATCGACATCGATCGATAACGAAAAGTAGCCTATGACACGCTCCCTGCCCCGAAGTATATGTGTGCCAAGTTTGGTCCCGATCGGTTCAGAAATAAAAATTTCTATTCCGCACATACGTACAGACATACATACAGACAGACATACATACATACAGACAGACATTCAGCTTTATATATAAGATTATTATATCGTAATTATCATGTCCGTAACAAAAGTTTTTCAATGTTCTCCAAAAATGTGCTTACGTCATCACAAAAGCCCAAAAAATTTGTAAAATGTGCTGTAGTAAAATCAGTATGTGCAAAATTTCTGTTGCACAATTTTCAGATTTAACGGAAAAAATGTCAACGGCTTATTTCATAATGGTTCTCTATGATGGAAGTTCTTACCGTCACACTACAGCAATAAAGAACGATTGATGATGAATCTTTTTGGAGGTAACTTAACCCTTTGGGAATAGACTTTTTTCCCGTGGGTGAGAGAACTAGTCACCTATTGATGTTAATGGAGAAGCATTAGTAAATCAACACAGCGAAGTTTGAAGCTTTGTCGATAACGAAATGCTTTTAATTTTGATTTTTTGTCCAAACTTTCTTCTAATTTTGAGATTTTTTGGAACAAACGTAGAACCGCGGACTCATAGTAGCTGATCCCGCATAACACCATACTTCACATCTGTAGTAATAGTGCGTACATGTCTCAGCTATCTAAAAAGATGACGGGCAACTTATTAGCGTGCTTTGACCGAGGCAATTATTGATTTTTCACTTCTCAGTTTTACATGAAGATTCTTACATTGCTAACAGCACCAAGAATAAAATGGTGGGTTTCAAAACACTGTTAGGAGGGCAAAGAGTGTCTGGTACCTGTAGCAATAAGTAGCAAAATTCTGCTATTGCGCCAAAATTACTGTCTTCTGAAGTTGATGGCAGTTGCCACCACCAGGTCCGAAAGGGTTAGTGGGAGATGTGGCACAACTCAGGAAAAGTTATGGCTGCCACACCTTCTCAAGAACTGTGCCACTCCCGTCCCCCCCCCCCCTCCCCCCTCTCTCTATTGACTTATATCTGTATTTTTATGTAGTTGCCACTGCTAAACCTCTTCTTTACACGGTAAATTTATTCAGAACTAGCTGGCTTACCCGGCTCCGCCGTATGTTCCGAATAGAAAATTCCATTTCTTGACCGATCCGGACCAAACGTGGCACACATACACTTCGGGCCCCGGCGGTGGGACCCCCGTGGGGTGATCAGCATGCTCGATCACACCCCTCTCCCAAATTCCAGCCCCCTAGCTCAAATTTTGCAAAAAATCGATAAAATCGATATCGATCGATAAAAAGTAGCCTGTGACACCCGCCCTGCCCCGAAGTGTATGTGTGCCAAGTTTGGTCCCGATCGGTTCAGAAATGGAATTTTCTATTCGGAACATACGTACATACAGACATACAGACAGACAGGCAGACAAACAGACATTCAGCTTTATATATAAGATTTTCTCCTAGAGAAAAATATAGTCGTTTTTCCTCACCTACGCGAGTGGAAAATACTGCGAAAATATTGGGTTACGATAACATGCTAAGTCTGCGCTACTACGAGAATCGCGAGGGAAGGAGTCAAGAATAAATAGATTCGATGGCGCCTGAACCTCGTAATTTTCATATAAGTGATTTAAACATGATTGTTCTTCTCTAGCCCGAAATAACGAAAGCGAAAAATGGGACAAAGTAGGTTTTGGTTTGTTCTTGATTGCATATGTGGGAGTTATTCAAAATGGGATTCCTAGCGTGAGCAAGGAATTAGTAGTTCTTGGTATAAAGTGCAGAAAAGTAGTTAATTCACCTTTGAAACAAACTCAACATGTTCGTAAGTGACCGTCTCATTTAGGTGGGTGAATATAAATATAAAAACCTCGGAATTCGCTGAACCTTTAAATGGGTATTTACCATGCTAATCACCAAGATGATGCTCTTATGCTTTAAGGGTTCTTTAATTATGCTTACGTACCGATACGATGGTAGGCCAAAGCATCGTGTGATAGTATTTTGTTTAATGGAAATATCTGCTATTGTTAACTAATATCATGTTATCGCTACCCGATAACGACCTCCCCCCTCCCTCCCTGGCCCTTCTATGCGACCCCTCAGGTGTGGTACGCCACATCCACGCAGAGACCCTGGTTATAACATTTCAACAACACAACAAATCAGAAAATCTACAAATTGGACAGAACTTTGGGAACAAACTATTCAGCTTTACAGAAGGAGACGTTTCCTGCCACCGTCCAACTGAAATTCCAGAACTTTGTGCTTGCCTGTTCGACCTAACCATTTTCCCATTTTAACATCGGTTGTAGTTTGTACTTGTCTCCAAGGTACTGTACAAAGTTGAATCCTGGGATACTGTCGCCATGTCGTCTTTACGGTGCACTAACATCACGATCTCGCCCACGCATACGAGAGATTGCTCCATCTTTGTGCCCAACAAATACGATTACAAAGGAAAAAAACCGATGAGTTGCTCTTATCATGAGAGGAACAGATGAGAAATGGACACGCAATTCACATCAGTTAGCAAGAGAAGTAGAAGTCGCAAGTGTGGTGTGAGACAGGAAACAAAACTAAATGGATGGATTGGTTAGTGATCGTCAAGGAATGTCTTGGCTGTAATTTCTTCAAATGAGCGAGGTCAGTAAACCGCAGTTGAGGAGTTGGCAACGGGCTAAAGACTAACAGCGGCATTTTCCATCTGCAAGGTGAGGAAAATGGAGGAACCAGTGCTGTCCAAACGCCCACGTGCGTACTACTCGTAGCTCGATGAATGTTGCATATTAACATCGACACAGTTCATAAATGGGTGTTTCCAGATTTTGAAACAACAATCGTAGTAAGAGTATTAAAGAGAAATTGAAAATGGTTGATTGCCTTAATTATGGAGCTGATGAAAAGATGGCGCCGTGCATGTCTAGTGATATCGTAAGAGGATTTCCGGAAATATCATTATGTACACCAGATCTCCTCGTCACTCACCTAAAACTAGCGGTTGTGCGCAATATTTTGCATGCAGTGGCGAAAGCAATGCAGGAATCTCTCATGGTGGTGCGCGAGATGGCGACAAAATGACTTTCCTCACAAGTAGGTCTGAAAATTCTAGATCATAGTTGAGGAATGTGACGGAAATAATGCTACATTTTCTTTGTACTAACCATTTACACACGCAGGGTAACAAACAGTGAAACAAACAATGTTTTGAGGCAAGCTTGTCTAAATCGAGATGTTGTTCTTGGAACATCCCACCAAACAACATCAAATGGCAGCTGATACATAACAGATTGCACAATTCTACTTGTGTCATAAAAACTGCGTTTTAGCCCCAGTAGATAAATGGTGTAATGAATTTGGAACTATTCACAATATATAATGTCTAAACCGTCACCAATGTACATCAATGAAAGAGCCCGAACGCTACTTACAGGGTAATGGTCAGGTCGAAGTGGCCAATAAATAAGCTGACTTTTCGAGGCAGCACGGGCGCTGTCAAATCTGTTTTCCTTGTCTGGAAAACGCCTTTGTAGGCGAAGTTATGAGCAGCTTTACTGCGAAAAAATTGTACACAAAATTTGCAGAACTAGGCACATTATTGCCCTTTTAGCTCACCTCTAGGCAAGGACCATATGAAGTGACCTAGCTGCATGTATTGGCCCAGCATTAAGCCGACAATGGCTCTGTACAATCAGGTACACGAACAGTTTCTTAGCAAAATAATGGCCTTCCACGGTTTATTACTTCATCCTCAAAAGTGTTTTGCAGACAAGGAAGACAGGTTTAGAGTCAGCATTTTATGCTGCATCTAATGCTGCAGCTTGTTTGCATTGGCCACTTCGATTTCGGACCATTCCCTTGTTAGTTGTGAACGAGCCTCCAGCAAATGAAAAAACGAGGGAGCAGAGTCCGCCTAGGAAACATGAAGCCATGACCGACCACGATGACGAACAGTATTGAGTGTCTCAGCTATCTTTTACCATCTTAGTCGTGAAGGTAAGATTGCCGCTTCCAAAGAGCTAAAACGTCATTCATGGTGTCGCGGAAATCAAATGGCAAAAATGAGCAGCTCTCCATTAAGGGCAATTTTCTGCCATGCATACTTGGTTTCGGCATAAAATACCCCACGCTAAATAGCTGATTCCCAAAGGGATTGCTCAGTCGTTAATCATCTATCATCAGTGTAACCTTACGTTGCTGTCAGAAAGAGCTTTTTATCATTTCGCTGCTTTTCTCCGACTTTCGTTGACTCATCCGCTGACTGCTACTGATTGTCTTAGAGTGGTGTCTCTAAAAATCCAAATCCTCGTATTTGATGAGTCAGAGAATAGTTTGCGGTTAGGTTTAGGATGAAGATAGCTTCTTGATTTTGATATTCTAATTAATAGAGACAAAAAATTTACTTTAGGTATTCTCATTTCAATTTACATTTGCTCAACAGTATCGATAGCGATCCACCACACTCTCGAAGTCAGAGTACTTCAAGTATATAGTACATAGCACATTGACTACACTTGCAGTTTTATTTTATGAAAAGTACCATGCTACCGGCTTTTGTGTGCGTTATGGTGTGCTACGCTTGCATTTTCAGTTCTAGACGGATCTACCTCCATACAACCAACATAGAAAGCACAAATATTTATAACTCAAGTATGGATTCTTCTTTTTTCCTGTATTATTGATGGTCTGCCACTTTTTGCAACTGAAGCAAGTTGGTAGCATGCTATAGAGATCGATTACGCAATTCGCTGGAACATGAAAGAAGCCGAATATCATGTCTACAGAATGCCATGCGAAAAAGACAAGGACACTGAGATTTACACGAACTATACTGCTTTTCCTGACTACCGATGCATTGCAGTGAGTACCTCAGTTTTCGTAAAGCAAACAAATTGAACACCTTGCCAAAAGTTTTGCCATTTTACTTTGAATATTTATAAAATTGCATATTAACACTTGAAAAATTTTATTGCTGCTGGTTTCGACGATGATATTTCAGAAAGGAAATGGCACCGCTAGTGTTATTTTGATGGGAGATTCGATTGCATGCAGAGCGTATGCGCTTGTTCACGATATCTTCAAAGGCCGTTATCGCAACCTCCGACTTTTTTCGAGACCTAGTGCGTTTAGAATAAGATTCTTGGCTGCACATATATTCAGCGGTTTATATAAGGTTGCCCTTTTTTATGGTGTTCGAGGGAAATGTCTGAAATTATAAGAAAAGTTGTGCAGCGAGAGAAACCAGACGTTATATTGTATACTAGCTGGCTTGCCCGGCTCCGCCGGGCCTGCCAGCTAGACCCGTGTACGTATGTTCCGAATAGAAATTTTTATCTCTGAACCGATTGGGACCGAACTTTGCACACATACACTTCGGGGCAGGGAGCGTGTCACAGCCCACTTTTCGTTATCGATCGATGTCGATTTTACCGATTTTTTGCAAAATTTGAGCTAGGGGGCTAGGATTTTGCACAGGGGGGTAATCGAGCATGCTGATCACCCCTTCGGGGTGATCAGCATGCTCGATTACCCCCTCTGCCAAATCCCAGCCCTCTAGCTCGAATTTTGAAAAAAAATCAATAAAATCGATATCGATCGATAACGAAAAGTAGCCTATGACACGCTCCCTGCCCTGAAGTATATGTGTGCCAAGTTTGGTCCCGATCGGTTCAGAAATAAAAATTTGTATTCGGAACATACGTACATACATACAGACAGACAGACATACAGACAGACAGACAAACAGACATTCAGCTTTATATATAAGATAAGATGCAGCGTACGTGAGTGCTCAAGCTTCACGTACTTATAATGACCGCAATGACTTTGTTTCAGATATTTTCGTTTTAATGCTCCAATCATAGAACTGGATACAGATTTTGTTTACAAACAGTCTCAAAGCAACATTGAGTTTATCAGGTGATATCTGGTTGATAAGCCGTAAATGTGCTTGAGCTTTACCTTTCGTTTCTTAATTCAAAAGTCATTTGCATTAGACTGTCACTAATAAAAAGATGTGCTAGGCAAGACTTCTGTACGAATATAATGCTAAAGTTAGTTTAAGTAAATACACGAAACATTTTGTTCTTGATCTGCCTTATTGCACGCCTGGAATCAATGTTGGTGCTAGTCTTGCAAGAAAACTTCAGCTTGGTCTTCTGCCTGGTAATGAATTCGTGATCACTTGGAAGGCAAGCGTTTCGAAAATGCAAAATGCTTCGCTTTTTTCAGTTTTAGATTACAGCAGTGCGCCGAAAGGACACGTTATCAAACGGTACGATTGCGCTCACTAAAATGTGACAAATGCATCATGAACGATGTGAACAAGGTGAGATAGTAGATTAAAAGCACCGTCCACTCTTAATCTCGACTTCCATGTTCTTGTCGTCCCTGATTGTTTTCCGGGGTTTTCTCCTGTCCCTGATTCCGAATTTGAAGTCGAGAGTCCGCGAAAACTTCAACAAGCCCTGTACCGGAGAATCAGCGGGAAGGCTTTTTCGAGTGGTGTTGGATGGACGAGTATGGATGGGGGGCATTACTGAAAAAGGCGGTGCCGCTTAGGGGCTACCGTGCCTCTTCGTTATTCCGGAAACGATTTTCTATTTTGCGCCGTGACTTGGGCATTAACTTAATAGGGATCCTGCCATCATCTGCGGCCAAAAGCAATACCCCTAAACTCAAAGTGGAAGGTGCTTTAAGCGATTAGGCTGCATGCAATAAACAATCTGATGAGAAGAAGTCGGGGAAAGCCTGTTTGCTCGATTTTTGTGCAAAATCTGCGTCGCCTTCTTGTAACGTGGAACCTCAGGCAAAAGACATTTCAATAATTTAATTGTTGGAGCCTTCTAAAATAACTGTTACTAACAATGACTGCGATTCTGGAAAATCCTGTCGAAGTGGCAGAAAATGTCAGTCCTTTGGTGAATGATCGATTACACAATAAATTAAAACTTACCCTCGAAAAACCATAGCGATGCGAATTCAGTAGAAATTGATTTACATTAGCGGAAGATGATTCAATTCAGAGCTTGCGTAGTTCCGAGAGATACTTTCATGAAGTAATAAACTTTGCGTTAAGGTGTCATTGAAAGTGTTCTATATTATATCTGACTTGTTCAATGCATAGTTGATGCTCTAAGAGAGTTGCATATAAAAATTGCGGGATTTCCAGTCCTCAGCATTTAGATGAGATGTTAGGGTTGATATATACTTCTGACTAATAAGTATATACTTGCTAATTTTTTCCATATGTAAAAGTTAAGAAAATGAAAAATGGCGTGTTATAACAACTACGCCTCCACTCCTAACTAAGTAAGGTAAGTGTTGGCTACAAACCATTCAAGATACCACGACAATTTTCAGCTTCTGGCTCAGTTTCCCAAATATATTGAATTATCTGGAGCTGGCTCTCCCGGTCCAGACTAACTCATCGTACAGGATTTTGGAAAAATCCATAATTTGAGCCTCCTCCTTTCCGTACCGTTCTCTTCGGCCTCACCTTCCACGTACTGCTATGCATGTCCACTGTCTTCTGACCCCTTTCTGTCTTTTTGCTGCACTCAAACCCCCCTCTCTCTCTCCTGCATGAGCTAACTTCAGAATGTCATCGTTTTGAGATCAATTAGGAGGACATACACTCTTTTCACTGATGCTTCTCCTTCCCCTCCATATAGAATATCTAAAGACGGAATATTGAGATTACAATATGTTTTGCGAGACGAGAAAGAGACGAGCTTAAAATTGATTGGCTAACAACAACAATTATCCAAAAGCATTTTTTTCACAGTTGAAGGGTGGTGCAATTGCTTGGGAGAAGGTGCTGCACTCGGTAAGTTTTTTCCATATCTTGTAACCCCTTTTAGAGGTAAATTTAATGCATGAGCGCTTTTTGTTTTTCTTCGAATTTTGCCACTATGCGTGAAATTGAAATTACACAAGTGCGACGACGAAGGTGATCAAAAAAATCCTTATGTTTTGAACAGTATCTGACGGAAGATTGGACGCCCAGATAGTAAGTACAAGTTGAGATGTTGCAAACTTTGCAATAGTGCATTTACCTAATAAAAACCACTCTTTGAGCGCAGCTCAAAATGTATAAAAGCTATAATGTAATCAAATATCTTTTGACTTTGTCATGGCTGCATTTTGACGTTTGCTAGATTTCAATTTCAAGATTTATTTCAGGCTCTTTTCAAAGATGGTATTTTCTATTCTTATGATCCACGTACATTTCTCGCCCGAATTGCGGATGGATTGCACATGAGTTCCGTTGGCCTTGAATTGCTGCGTCCTCTGTACACCGAAATCATCGAGAAATTGCTTCCAACTCTTTAGTGCTAACCCGTAAACTGCAGCATCCTTTATTTAGATCTAAAATACACTCTACTGACTATATAGCAACTTATGTGAACATCTAGCTTTCAACAAAGTTTGAAGTATTGAATGTATCATGATTTGTTGAGGCCAACCTAACCTGATCAGTATGTTATCAATACCAGCTTTTTTCACTGTAACTTTCATGAAAACATTTTGCATATGTGGCGTACTAGTTTCCAGTACAGATTGTTCTGACACACTGAGACTGTATATCTGTAAGCCTGCAGCCCTTGTGAGTTGTAGTCCCGAGAAAAACGGGACAGAAAAATATAGGGAGAGCAGATATCGGCAGATTGGCTTGATAATATCAAATTGGTGAATAATGATAGTACCGCTTTCACGATACATATAAATTTTGAGGCCTACCACATATCGTGATATGGTCGACGGGTATTCTGCAAGCGACAAAGCGTTTGCAATCGAGAACGGGACAGAGTGCAAAATTATCCGTGCTTCTAGCGTTGGGGGTGCGTGGCGTTAGGTACCCAGCCGAGGTGCGGGCGTTAGGTACCCAGCCATAAGTGGTATACACTAAGCCACGCCCCTCGGTTGCTTCAACAGCGGGTACCTAACGACACACCAAATCCTAGCTGCTAGAACAGCCCGCCTAGCTCGCTGAAGCGCTGGGGCTTGCAATCCACATGAAAAAGATAGTTCGAGAAAATCAAAAAAATGCGCGAATGAAAGCGCAAGTTTAATGCTTTTTCTATTGCTTTTTTTAAAATCCATTTCAGAACCACAGAAACTCGGTGCTGAAAATTGGAACAGGGTAAACTTTTTGTGAGCACTTTACAAAGTTTTGCAAAAAAAACCGTGATGATCTGAGCCGAAAATGTTAGCGGGAATTTCATAAAAGTGAACTTTGTAGAATACCAATAAATCAATTTTATGATTTTACTGAAGCAGAGCGCACTTTCAAATGCGCTCCAGGCAAATAAGTTGCACGAAATCTTCCTTTCACATATTGTCGTCAGGCTCGTTTTGAGGCGTAAAGTCAAGGATCGTAGTACTTGCGTTAACATTGCCACAGGGATTGTGCTACGTTATCGTAGATTATTAAGGATATCTTCGATCATAGTTAAGGCCAAAGATTTATGGAACATTACTTTGATAAGCATACATTTTTCTTTATTTCGGAAGATTTCACATCCCATCCATGAAAATTCCATTGAGCTACTGTATTTTATCATACCTATGCTCTCTGCAGTGCTTCTTTGGAGGACTTTCATATTGCAATTGTTTCATATCATTCTCTTTTCTAGCGGCCAAAATATGCTCAGTTTATCCAATCAAAGCTATAAATTTTTTGTAACTCTCTAAAAAGCGAAAGATTTTGTCAATAATTGTTCTCAGTAGAGTTGCTGCTTTTTCCTGTTTCATTCTATAGCACACACTCATCCGAAGTTGGCTAACTCTGTAACTGTAATATGAAATTTTCATTGATTGAAACAAAGCCCTTCCCATATTTATGAATCACATAGTCCTCCACAAAATTTCCATTCCTGATGACAAGTTCTCGTTAAAGCTCTTCTTGCAATTGGTTCCATTTCTCATTGTCAAAAATGTTTTTTTTTGAAACAAAAGAATACTCCGTGCAACTTATTTGCCAGGAGCGCACCCGAAAGTGCGCTTTGCTTCAGTAAAATTATAAAATTGATTTATTGGTATTCTACAAAGTTTACTTTTATAAAATTCCCGCTAACATTTTCGGCTCAGATCATCACAATTTTTTTGCAAAACTTTGTGAAGTGCTCATAAAAAGTTTACCCTGTTCCAATTTTCAGCACAGAGTCTCCGTGATTCTAAAATGGATTCAAAAAAAGCAATAGAAAAAGCGTTGTGAACTTGCGCTTTCACTCGCGCAATTTTTTTTTTGATTTTCTCGAACTATCACTTTTCTGTGGGTCGCGAGCGCCAGCGCTTTGGCGAGCTATGCGAGTTGTTCTAGCAGCTAAGATTTGGTGTATCGTTAGGTACCCGCTGTTGAAGCAACCAGGAGGCGTGGCTTAGTGTTTACCACCAATGGCTGGGTACCTAACGCCCGCCCCCCTAGCGTTGGTGGCAAAAACATCAAAAGTTTAAAAGCGCTTCACAGTTATCCCCAATAAGCTGGTTAACTTGTCATCTCACCAATGCAATCGGATCAATTTCTTCAATATACACTATTCAGAGGCGTCTTCCGAGGAAGTCGGCGACTTATGGTTTCTGTCTTTATCGGGCCTTAGAGTAGCGTTACACAACGGAATACGGAGATTGCTTGAAATGGTGAAAACACGAAATTTTTGCACACTTTATGAAGAAGCCCAGACGAGATTGAATTAGAGAGTCTGGTAGAGTGTGAAGTGCGCAAAGGTGCTTGTTGGTTGGTCAAATCAGTATGCATTCGTGGCTTAATAGGCTGTCGGAAGACGCAGGAGGGTGAGGAGCTCTTCCAGAGCGCTTTTTTTGCTTTCTATGGCAAATAGCGTTTGCGTGGAGGCTTAGCAGGGGGCGGCCTATTGCCCTACTGCATGGAAGTTCATCCTCTCGCTTCTGCCCGCACGCCGCCTTTGTATGTAGGCACTTCTGAGAACAGGGAGTCGGTATCTTGCTTATGTTGGTCGTACAAAGGGATTCAGAAGTCGAAGTGTTTGGTCCGAGCAAGCTGCATACCGGGATGCAGCATACAAAGCCAACTTCAAATCTGTCTTTCACATCTGCTAAACCGCCTTTGTAGAAGAAGTTTTGAGCAGTCTTGTGGCGAAACAAATCTCACATAAGGCGAAATTGAGCACATTATTGCCTTTTGAACTTACCTTTATGTATTTGCTGTATGAAGTAAGCTAGCTGAATGTTTTGTCCATTAAGCCGAACATGGCTCCGTACGGCCAAATTTGCACCATGCAGGCACTTTAGCAGGATTACGGCCTTGGCTTAT